ATAATAATATGGCTCTGACGGCTCAATAAGAACACTGCAAATATCAACAAGCCACCTAGCAATGCTGCAGCAATATTAATCAGGGTTGGAATCATTTGGGTTAAACGAAAGAATGTTAACAACAATTATTTTATTACATCGAAACTAGACAAGCGGTTGTTTCTCGACATTCGACACATGTTGCCTGCAGCAGGTCGAAATCCTCAAACCTTCCCACTCATCATTCCTGTTAGATAGAGGATATCACTGAGTATCTGCTCCTATAACGAATGACACCCGGCAAACCCGCGACATATCCCAGACCACCAAATATAACCTAAGACGCGGTTCTGCCTTTCTTTGACTTGTTCTTGTTTTATTGTGTCCTCTTTTTCTTCTCTCCTGGCGTAGTCCAGGCATAATCAGCAGGGATAACAAAGGGGTCTTGGATGTCCTCCACACGGTTGCTGGGACCTTGTGCTGTCGAGAAGTTCTGGCGGTAAGGAGCCTTGATCCACTGAACCCAGGAGCTTGAAGACGTCTGGGCTCCTGGGCTCTTGCAATTGTCAGGGCTGGAAGGAGGTGTGCTGAACTCTTCTAATGGCTGTAGCTCTTCAAACTTTGTGAATGTCACAAGAACCCTGATTGTGGGTACAACTGGAATGGCAACCTAAGACAAATAACGTGTTATTGAATTGCTTCATCAGATCCACATTAACCCAACAGTGGTAATTCAACAAAGAGCAAACATTAAATATTAAGTATATCAAGAATGTTATCAAGGTTCACGTGTAACACGGACTATGATGGCCCAGAAAGTCCCAGGTTATGCATATGATCTGAAATGATCCAGAGCCAACATAGGATTCTTCACATGAGGCTGGCATGGATGGAAATGTTCCTATGAAAACTAGTACAGTACAAATGAATTCTAAGGAAAAATTCCTATGTATCGTAATCCTACGAATAATCAAACAACCGATGCAGGAAAAAATTCCTGAGGATTAGAATCCTCCAAAATTCCTTTAGGAATCCATTGAATCAAAGAGGCCCTCAGTTTGTGGAGATCAGAGGAACATATACAAAGATTAAGGATTGGATTAAGAGTCAAACATATTTCTATAATAAGCATTAAATCACAAGGAAAAAAGAATGCACCATTGGAATGCGTTTTCATGGATAACATCAAAGCATAAAGTTCTGCGCTGTTGTTAATTCAAAGTTTCAAACCGCTAAAGGATAAAACATTATCAGTTATTTGATCAACATATTCAAAAAGGGCTTCAAAATGAAACACAGACAAATAGAGCTAACAAAATGAAGGTGCGTGGTTTTCTTTTTCATGACAAAAAACATCTTAACTAAACACGCAGGTTATTGCAGACCGCATTTATCAGGAAAGGAAACAGACATCCACAAATTTGATCCTTAGACTTCTACTCCCTCTGTAAAGAAAAGTAGTGATCTAAACGCTCTTATATTTCTTTACTGAGGGAATGCATGGCAAACTACAGGTTGTGTAGCATATTATCAAGAAATAAAAAACAGAAGGGGTTGATAGAATATGTTATACAGCATAGATGCACTGAAGTCCAGAATCACGAGCTACTAGCAAACCAAGAAACAAATAAATCTGCAATTTATTAACATACAGCCTATTTGAATTGTTATGCATCTCACGTTCAGCCAGAAAAAGTTATGCCTCATACCGTTGTTATTTTTTTTCACAATACAGGCCAGAAGAGGAAAACAAATAGACGGATTTTTTTTTCAAAACTCATGCATAAAGCATCTCTTAGTATAAATTAAAGAGTTAGACAGATAGATATCATATATGGGGTGACACTCATTCAAATCATAGTTCAAAAAGGGCCTTGGCTCTAGGCAATAGCAAAACACCTAGCACTTAATTGCGCTTGATGTGTGCATAATTGCACTTAAGCATGCGCTTTGGTCAGAAAAGTGCAACGCGATGGCAAAACGCACATTTAATGCCTAGCGCATTTTTAAACTTTGATACAAATACCAAATAATCACATTTGTAGTAAAACTGCCAACAAGGACTAAATTTTATTTTCAAGTATCCACATGAATCTACAGAGCGGTGTCTTGTGTATGCCTAACCAATGATAAGGATACATAGGTGTACAGATATGTTAACTACGGTTACGATTCTCTAATAGTTTTGTAACAATTGGCAATGGAATTATATGATGATAAAATTTCTCTTAAGTGCCAAAAGTGGCATGGCATGAAATGTACATTTTGACAAATAATTAAATGTACAGTACTGTCAAACTCTCAAACAACCCACTGGATTAGTGTAGCTCCAGCAACCAAGAATAAACATTACATTTGCTAACTTTGCAGTGAAGACATTGCATCATGAAACATTTGATTTTAGGCTCTTACCTTGACTGGAAAAGTTCCTGGAGGCAGTTTTGTGGTGAGTAGATCCCTCAAACGACGGATTGCCTTCACCTTGTTTGCAAGAATATCAAGTAGTGGCAAGAGCTCCTCAGTCCTCAGAGGGAAATTAGGGGACAACCAAAGAACAGGCCTTAGACCTTTCTTATACTCACTTTCTTTGCTACTTTCTTTGCGCCTATGTCCATTCTCAGAAGTTGCAAGTTTACGACAGTCCTTTTCCTTGCCATTTCTGTTCTCATCCCTTCTCACTATATCCACTGAATGTCTTCCTGGTTTAGTTTGTACATTTGATGGAGATGCAAGGCGGAGGTCGCTAACCTTCTCATCTACACAGAGCGAACTTCTTGGAGGTGCCATCTTCTTTGTCATCTCTAGTTTACTAATGCCAGTTTGACCCCTCTTTCCCCAATTACTAAACCAACCTTTCTTATCATGCTTACTCTCCCCATTTCCAGAGATGCTCAAATCCTCAATTGGTATTTCCCTCTCCCTTGGCTCAAAGCAACTATGCCTAGGACCTACAAAGGTGTCGGACTGGCTGTCACCAACAGCATCTGAAGAATCCATCTTAAGCGCAGATTCCAGCTGCCTCTTCTCCTCGTCAGTCAGTACATCATCGAACCCCTCACTCTCAGTATCATTCTCATTGCAAGCTGAAAAGAATTCCTCATCCGTCATAGCACCAGGAACCCTCCTTGACTTAACACTCACCATAACATGGTGCATGTCATACACCTTAGCCTTCCACAAGCCAACAGCCTCTGTCCTCTCCTGCCGCCGCCATGTGACCTGTGGAAGCAGCACTGCTTGAGTGACATCTATCCCCGGACGGAAGATATTCGTCTGTGACATTGCGGTGACCTCCTGCTGGACCTCTGCCTCGGAGGCCGGCGCGCCAGCACCTTCAAGCGCGTTCATCACCTCCTTATCTTTGTGGTTAATCATGCACAAGGACCCTGGTGGCACCTTGCCGTCCTCCGAGCCCTCCCCAAGAAACAGAATAGTCTGGTCAGAGCGCTGGATCTTGAAGCCATCGAAGCCTGCAAGCGTCATGTCCGCACGGAGGTTGGCCCCGCGCTTCCAGACCCTGTAGGTATCCGAGGGCGCGATGCGGGAGATGAAGGGAATGACGGAGCTCTCGAAGTGGAATGTGATTTCCATGTAGAAGTCGCGCATCCGGCGCATGGCGGCGACAACACGGGGCAGGCGGCGGCACCATTTGGCCCAGGCGAGAGGCTGGTAGTGGCGCACGATGACGCGTGCGAGCGCCTCCTCACGCGCGCAGATAGCCTCCTGGAGCGCGCTCCAGCCATGCTCGTTCTGCAGGCTCCAGTCGGCCCCCGCCGCCATGAGCATCTCAGCTGCCGCCGCGTCGCCGAAGCGGACGGCGAGGTGGAGCGGGGTCTCGCGCCCAGGGACGTCACGCCGGTCGAGGATGGCCGAGACAGCCTCCGCTCGCACCTCCTCGGCGATGGAGTCCGCCTCCGTCCGGATCTCCTCGGGCTTCCGAGCCTGCGGGAGCGCGTCTAGCACGCGGCGAAGGGCAGCGTGGTCCTGCATCGCCACGGCGTGGTGCGCTGGGCTCTGCGCATACCTCGCCGCGTCAACGCCAGCCATCGCGCCGCGACCACCGGCGCAACTCCTGCGAATCCGGGGACCGAGCCTCGCCTCTCCGTAGCCCTATTGCCCTGATCTGTAACGCCACGCAAATAATTGAGTGCAACGGAAGGGGCGAGAAGCAAGCAAGAATCGATGGAAGGATCCCTTGCTTGCGCACCAGTTCCCCTCCAATC